TTCATTCATCTCAGAAACTTGTTATAGTATTCTATAAATTTCCTTGATATTTTACCGATATAACAAGCAATATTATTTTAATTGATTTGTCTAAAACTGGATTTCACCATTCTAAAGAAACAACATAATACTGCTTTGATAAGCACTGATTCTGCAAAAGAAACAAAATACAAATGATATTATTATACTTTATGCATGATTAATACTAGTCCCGGGCATGACGTTAAACTGCGCCCATAGACCAAGTTACTACCGGTATAAGTGGCCCCCTCTACCAAGTGCCAACAGCCTCTTCGGAGGTTGGATGAGCGGGTGGAGGTTCAGAGCACCCTCATGTCCTTGGGGTGACAAATCACCCCTAAAGGCAGATGAACCCGGATGGGTCAACTGCATAAGATGCGGAAGGCAAGGGGAATCCACCGCATTAAAGATCCTCAGGATTTCCCAAGTATCAACAGCTAAAAAAAGAGCTGCTGCCAGCCAATCCTAGGATTGATTACAAAATAAGAAGATTAATACAGTGAAGTGTTGTGTCATGTGCTGCCACCTGCCCAGCAAAAAAAATCATCACAGAAAGTTTTCTCTTACAGAGATCCAGATGTTCCTGAAGAGATGCAGGAGGAGAATGGTGTTCTGTACGGGTACCAAGTCTATGAGAGACTTCATGGTATGTGAGTGCTTCAGAACCTTTGTCACAAAGCAGGGTGCTTGCCATATAATATTAATATGTGATAAGTGGAACATTTTTTCTCTCTACAGAAGTGTTAGATATTTTAGAGACATGTGCTAGTACAGAGGACATGGCTTGGACACTAGAACATCTGAATTTTTGCATGTTAGGGATGCATGTACTCGAGAGTTTTTGAGTCTAGAATGGATATGTATGTATGTAAATAATGGTGACCCTTGCACTGAAATGGGAAATATTTTTTACTGCTTAAACAGTGTGCTGCAACTCATGTGGCATGATATGAAAAGATCTATGCCACTTATTACTTTATTTCAGTCTGCTGAATGATTTGATGATTCCAGTTCATAGTGCAGAAGATGATTGTGATGTAATATGTATGTTAATGGGTGAATTAAAAACAATGACGCAAACATTGCACTGTGTATGTAATAGATATTTTTAAAACATGTTAACATATATTTGTATTTTATTTATTTGTTTATAATTTGATATTTCTTGCTTTTATAGATTTCAATTCTTTGAAGTTGTGAATTTTGGGAGAATGAGGTAAGCATATATTGAACAGTAAATATATTATTATTTAAAAAAAATCATATAAATCTTGAGTGATATTTCTTGCATTTGTAGGATCCATCCTATGATTACAGTGATGATGACAATGCACACGTCTTTCCTGTATAAAATAATTATGTTGTAATACTTATTTTATCACGAGTACAGGTTAATCATGGTTTGCCAATGCAGTGCACGTCAGTAATTCTGTTCTATGGTAGATTAAAGTTTATGAGCCACAGTTTTATTTCAGGTTGCTGGAGGTGCTGTCTGAGATGGCTAGGAAGGAAGGAAAGCAGGAAGTTGGTACCAATCTTCAGCCAGAATGTTTCACTTCAGCCATAGTTATTAAATACTTATGAAAGGAAGTATATCAGTAATGATGCCTTGTTTCAACAAGGGTTTTTGACTCCATGTTGTATGAAATGTACTTTTTATGGAAATATATATTATTTCATATTTTTATGTTCTTTTTTCAAAATGGATGCATAATAAAGAGCTTATCTCTGTTGGTCTTTATGTTTCATCTTTATAATTCATGATCAGATATCATTGTCGCCCTCGGTGGACTAGTGGTTAGCGTGCTTGCCACTGGACCCAAGGTTTACGGGTTCAATCCCGGCTGAGGTCGATGAATTTTTAAGGGTGATAAAAATCTGTAGCATAGCTTCCTTTGGAGGGGAAGTAAAGCCGGCAGTCCCATGTCGTAGATTTACGGCATGTAAAAGAATCTTATGAGCATGATACAAGATATTTCATAAGCAAAATTCAGCAGCAATTTATCATCCAAGTCTCCTGGCTCTGGCAGTCAAATTGGGATAGAGTAGAAATTGTGCAGTCTGTGGGCTGGTCATTCACTACTCACAAATGCACACTTCAAGACCAGGAAACCAAGACCCGAAAAGGGTTGTAGCGCAACTGATGATGATCAGCTTTCATTAAATTTGGTATTGGGGTCTATTGCTTGATTTTGGTTCATGTCAGTCAAATGTAAATCCAGTTTTAAATGGGACTTTATTGATTTTCTCAGAAATAGCTTGAAGTGTAAGAAGATTAGTACATTAAATAAAATACAGAGCTCATTATGATCTACAGTCTCCTTAACCCATTCCGAGCAGTTTCTGACTATGCACTCAATGCCAGCACAAGCTGTGCTTTACGGTTTGAAATAAGTTGTGCTGTTTCTTTTGAATAGTTTGTTAATCTTCCATTAGATGTCATAAGCATTCAGATCTGTACAGACAGTCTAGATGTCAGTTTAATAAATTACAAGACAAAACTTTTAATGGCAGTCTGTGCTAGATAGGATTGTTGTAAAATATCTGCAAATGTGATAGGCAATATCAGACAGACCTAACAGAGGACCGAATGGAAGAGGAGAATTGAGGAGGCCATGGACCGAATGCAGACCAGAGAGCCATAGAAGAATATTGTGCAGATTAAAACTGTTACTGGTGATATAACTGGGAGTAAATTAACCACACAGTGAAGTTCATGGAGTCACTGAGAAACTAGTAGATTTTCCCTATCTCTGAAACCCAAAGATTTAGTAATTTGTTCACAAGAGCCCACTAATGGCCCATATTCAGAGCCAGAAGAATCAAGTCCACTGCCACTTCATAATAACCGGTCATCCTATGTAGGTCTGAATTGGCCCTTTCAGGTGTTCTGATCATAATTTTGCATGCATTTCTTATCTCTGTCATGTGATCTTCCTTGATTATGAAATCCTAAAAATCAGACAATTCCTGACAAAACTCTCTCTGTTTGTGAAGAATACCAACATGAATAAAATGAAAATAGTTATGGAGGAATTCACTGTATTAGTATTAATAACAATCATAGGGATAGGGAAAATATACAAAATTTGTTTTTGGAAATGCATATTAATTATTATTGATGGTGATACATGTCTATTGTGAAATGTAATTGCAAGTGAAATCCAATTCAGTACAAACAGATGAGGTAAGACTGACGTAAGATGCTGTATACCATAAGTTAAACACAGCTTGGCCGTAAAGAATGAATAGTGATGGCCAGTGTTTCATCCCCACCACTGAAGCGAATTAGTTCATGGAAGTCTCACGTTATTCGCACAGTTGTACCAGAAGTGCAAAATGAGGGTAAAATTGTAAATACAGCATACGTGTATGGTTGCTTTTATTCGAATATTTGTTATAGTTTGTATGTCTTAAGTGTTTTGAAAACACCTAAAAGTAAATAAAAGTGTTGTGCCGCACGGGTCATAGGAGACGAGAGTGTAGACCCAAGGTTGCTTTTTAGAACGTCTTTTACGGTTTAAGCGGTTTATGATTTCATGTTTTTGTATGCTACTATTTGTCACTCCTTTACTTGCTTCAATAGTTTAAGGTAACTTAGGACAGAATGTATGCGTTACGTGTTTTAATTGTAGGTGTGTATTAGCTTCATTCAGTGACAGGTTAGCAAGCACTGTGCTTCGAACGACTTCCGATATCTCTTTTCCTGGAACTATATTACATTCAAAAGAAGTGACGTTTCGATGTCTCGATCGATTGTACAGGTTACTGGAATGCCTACAGATAAACTTGTTATATTAAACTTCAAAGTTCGCGTGGAACTGTTTTGAACAAAATGTTCCTACAGTTATTAGTTGGAAATGTGAACTTTCAGGAATATATAGTATATTATGAAACTGGAGTCAGTGGTCATCTAATAGTGTCAGTGATAATGGTATGTTTCTGTGTGATGTGGTAGGCCTACGTGCAAGTGAATCAAGAGTGCCTACTGTGTACAGACCTGCACAACGGGAATGTAACCACTACATTTCTGAAAACTAAAACGAATTCGGCTGGATTTCGGTAAGTAACCTCAGACTGTGCCTGAATTAATTGTGAGTTTGTAAACCTTACCATTGAGTATAGCTGTTTGTCATAATGGGCAGAACATCTTAACCTATTTGTCATTCGACGTCTCTGTTTACACGGTTGCACCTATTGTGCTCTCCTATTTCGTTCAGTAGGTTTTGGTATTCGAATCGGTTTCTTCTATGGTCCAGATTTTACCGCCTGGCGTAAGCTTGCAGGTATAATTTCATATAATCGAATGTGTGGGCGTGACAAGGAAACAGATTAACCGATACCTCGCCCGCGGCTTACTCATGTCGATGGAGCCAGCAAGCAACATGGAAGTGTCGGTAAACTTCAACCAGGCTACACGGGGCAACAACCCAAACGACTCATCTTTTTAATGTATTTTAATCTACACTAAATAAAATAAGCTAATCGGCGATTAATCATGGCAGCTTTTGAATGTGTTTATATACGCTAGGGTTTTATTATGTGTAACCAATAAATAAATCCAAGGCGAAGCCAATAATGTAGTGACGAAAAGTGCAAGGTAGCCTGCTTGAAGTTTCCCTTGAATGTGAAAATGTGCTCAATCGGTTATAACGTCTTTTTACGTATCTGCAACTTCCAGAAGGTTTCCGATATTATCTTCTTCGTCACTTAAAATGTGGTAAGCCTGAATATTACGTTGGTGTCGAGACGGCAGGAATAATTATTAGTTATAGAGTGTTCTGTTGTTGTTCCGCTATTTGCTTAGAGGAGATTCGCAATTTATATTCCATGTGAACGAATTTGATACGATCGAGTGCATTAATTTCTCAAAATAGTTTTCCCCATTGATATGAATGAGGGAACGATGCACTGTGGCGATTAAAGAACGTAACAAAATAAATTATATCCGTTCTTACCACGAAGTACTATATAAAATCGAAGCATAATAGAATGTCGTCTCTCTCAGTCATTCTTACAAAAATAAAGCTCAGATTTCGATTCGATGTGATTTTTATAGTCCATATAAAAGCTGACTGCTGAATTTCATTTTGGTTGATATCAGTGAAATATAAAGCCTGCACGCGGTGCAAGGCCGGCTTTAGGGGTGTACAAGCTGTACATTTGAGGGTGCTGAGCTAAAGTGGCACCAAACCGACTTCAGTGATCACAACATAATCAGATAATCGACGATTTTGTACGAAGTAATGTCGAAGGAAACAAATACACGTTTTATGAGTATCTGAATTTTCTTGAATTTTGTTCATAAGAGAAGTGTTTTCGTTTTTTCTCCATATGCCAACGATTAAAAACAAAGATTACTTTTAATAAATAATAGTAAACAGGTAGCTCATGTTATTAATTAGCTCATTCTTATGAATTTAGTGGTGTCGTAATTTTATTTAGATGGACGAATAGGGACCGAAAAGGGTTGTAAGGCCTCGCTGTCAATGCAGTCAGTAGTTTTCCATAAAATATCATTTTTTTATATTCTTAGGTGTTCTTTACAATTCAGCGTCGGAAAAGTAGATTCGTCGATGCCTGCCTGTCGCATATTTCTTTATATTGTTACATTTGTCTTGTACAACCTTTTCGCAGTGCTGAAACCGTGACTTTGGATACAGTTCTTGCAGTCTCCTTTATTTGCTTTACTCCCTGTTAAGTGGCGTATAGAACACCTTCGGAAATTTGGTGTTCTCCGAAGAATACACCAATCCAATCTTCTTTGTAAATGTATTGTTAGAGGTGACCAAGACATTTTAATTTAAACATTCAACGTTATGGCAGTTCTACGAACTTCTTGAGGTTGATACTGCACACGTTCTCCCTATCTGTATGTTCCTACTTACTATCTATCGTGGTAAAGGATAGTTTTTGAAAACTTGGTGGTTACTTGGTCCATCATGATATTAACTGAAGATAGCTTTTGTATGAGATGATAAAGTTGCGTCATATTGTGATAAATATATATTTGTTTAAATCTTGTCAGTCTAATCACAATAAAATTCTATTAAATATTAAAATATTACTATAATTAACATTTAAATATTTAAAATATATTAAATGATGTTCTCTATCGAAATGTTCGATTTACATTAGAACATCACTTTTTACACGACATGTTTCAGTTCTAAAAGAACCATCTTCAGGTGTATAAAATTATATAAACTTAAATATAATTTCTTAAATGCAACTTTTAGTCAGATGTTTATCAGATTTCA